TATGTATATATATATATATATATATATGTATATGTATATACTAAAACTACTACTTACTACTTGTACTACTATTCCTACTTCGCTGTTTTTCACTTATCGTGGGGCTTCAGGGTACGGATCCCCCGCGATAAACGAAGGACTACTGTACTTATAAGTTACGCTGTTGAATGTGTTGCAGTCTGTGGTCTTGCTGACATGCAAGACCTTCCCTGAAAAGATGTTGTCTGGATTACAGCACATTTTAAAACCTGAATATGAAATAGAAAGAAGCAAGAAGTTTGTGATATTTGTTAATTTATTGTAACTTATATTTTCATCAATGATATTTCATGTTTTCCCAACATTGTGTAGCACTGACATAAAAAAAAGCTAAAATATATATTATTTTGATTGATTTTATCTGCACTTTTCAACTGAACAGCACTCGAGACATTCGTACAGACTGTCAGATCGACTGTCATGATGCAGTTCATGTAGGTCTGTTTAAGTTGTGTCTGTATGAAAAAGATCATCTCATCACTGCAGAAATTAGCCACAGCTGCAGCTTTCCTTTACAGCTACAATGAGCAAAAATAAGCTTATGGAAACATGAACGTTAGGCTGCCTCCAGGCCCAGGCCTCCCTTACAAAAGAGATCACAAGAGATCTGTGATGGGATTTGCCTGGTTTAATAAAGGTTTATAAAATTAATAAAATAATGAATATAAAACTTATTTTGTATTTTTGAGTACTAGGAGTTGTAGTTATTTCTAAATGCTGCCATAAGATTAGGGTAAATTACATGAATATACAGTATGTACTGTTAAATATTAACATTCCTTGTTGTGGTTTGTTTTTTGCTGCAGTACGAGCAGCAGCTTACTTCATACAGGATGAATCATTAGTGAAACAGCTCAGACTGTCTGGTACATTCCTCTGCTTCTTGCTTCAGGGCTGTAGATTTAATTACAGATTTAGTTTTTGAAAGTCTGGCCAAGCACCGGTAGTTTGGATTGTATTTTCTCTTATTTCGCCGTCCACCACAGCCTCTTGTTTTGTAACAAAGAATTCGTAGAACTGGTGATGAGCCCAGGGTCATTTTAATCTCACCCCAGAAATGCAGTCATGTAGCACTGGTTAGTCCTCTGTTCATCACTTGACAGATGTTAAGCTCTGTTTTCTGACTGTACATTTAACATTTAACCTTTTCATTAAAAACTTTACTTGATGCACAGTTTAATAAAAACAAACAGATAATCAGGATGAACTAAAGTAAAGGGACTAGTAAAGAAAGACAGCAGGTAAAATAAGGTGATATTGTCAAGATGACTGGAGGCCGGGTAAATAAACAGAGTGCCTTCTGAAAGTATGTCAGTGGGTTTTGGTTAAAATGCTCAAGAAAATTGATTGCTGTCTGATCCAGTTGCTCTCAGAACAAACAGATAAAAGCATGCTCTTAGTTAGGTTGACCTAAATCTACCTGACTGAGGCAATAACCCAGATTTTTTTTTTTTTTCAGCTTCACCTTGGAGGGTCATACTGAGGTTTCCTTTCTGTCCCTGTATTAATACCTTTGTGCAAATGTTTTATTAGTTTTAAATGTACTAGCATTTCTCCAGTGGATGATTTTTTTTTAACTAAAAAACATAAAGTCTTGGACTAACTCTTGTTGGGGTTTGAGACTTTTCATCTCATCATATTTTCCGGATTATATGTTGCTCCGGAGTATCAGTCAAAAAATGCCTCATGAAGAGGAACAAAACATATATACGTCGCTTTCAAATATAAGTCGCATTTATTTAGTAGTGTATTTCACAAAGTGCAAGAACAGACATTTAATCTGAAATACCAATAACACACGGGCTGTCCATCGGGAGTGCCGGGACATTTCACGGTGGCCTGGCCTGCTCAGTGGTCGCCGAGGGATTGGACTAAAGGCTTGGTTCGAGTGGCACTTAATTATTTTAAATAAACAAGCTGCTCTTGCCCGTTCTCACTCAGGTCTCATGGAAGCTGAACTGTAGTGATGGGGAAAGGGAACCCCTCCCCCCGCCCCCTCCCTTACTTTTCTGAGTCTGTGTCAGTCAAAGCAAAGACACACAGGTTGTGTGCGGCATGCACACAGAGCATATCTGGGATCCTGAACAGGCTTAATTAAAATAAGCCAACAAGTCCGACAAGCAAGTTACCGTCCTCGGTGTTCTGAACAACTACGCCAATTCCGGAGGAAGAATGTTGGGGGGTGGAGGTGTGTGTGTGTGTGTGTGTGTGTGTGGGGGGGGGGGGGGGGGTAGGGTAGCAGAAGAGGAACAACATATAGTTGTCTAAAGCCTAGAGGGCCCTCTAGCAGCTGCATATGGTAATGTTTACTTTTGGTTCATGTCAATATTCAATCAATCAATCAACCGTTATTTACACAGAATATTAATGAACATTTAATGTGTCAGTCAAAAATTGCATCATGAATAGGGAAAAAAAACATATAAGTCACTTCAGACTTTATGTTGCAGGACTGACCAAACTATGAAAAAAGAAGCAACTTATAGTCCAGAAAATACGGTACTTGTTTGCCATGGTGGAAGGCTTCAAGTACCTCGGGAAGTCAAAGTGTTACTGTGTCAGGTGCAGTTTGCCATTTGTTCGGTCTCACAGGGCAAATTATTTCTGTGTGAGAGGCCAGACAAAGCATGATCCTAAACCAGTACAGTAAGTCCAACAAAGCAACAAAACACCCTGCCCAGAGTAGGATGCAGAGTCTCCATCTTGAAGCTGGACCTGGAGTAGGGCCTCAGAAGAGAAGAATTTGGCCAATAGTTGGATCTCTAGTTGGATGTTTTACATTCACTCAACTTTGGATCACATTTTTGTCATTTGTATATGTGGTCTTGCTGGGACGTCCCAACAGGGACAGAAATTCAATTTAAACCAGTCAGCATGAGAAAAATAAAACCTCCAAGTCATAAGTTGATAAGGGTGAATTGCTCTATCTTGACTGAAAAGGAATTTCTGCATAAAGTGGTCGAGCATATTGTAGTTTGAAGTGCTTTTCAGGTCCTGTTCATGAGTAAGACTAGAACGTACAGCCGTAGGAAACTGACATGCTAATTGGTGCAACTGGGATACTATTAGGAGTTCAGTGTTCTGGAAGGGCTTTAGTGCTTCCAGTTTGTACCAAAGGCAGCCACTCGAAGTTGTTCAAGCATTTGGCAATGACGTCTTCTAAATGCCTCTCTGGGGAGTTTTTCCAGCCATGTCCCACTGTGGGAAGTCTCTGGGGAAGACCCAGAATTTACTGGGAAGCTAATAATCTCCCTTCTGGTGATGTAACCCATTAGTGTCCATACAGAGAAGCTGGCAGGGGAAACTGAGGACAGGGAGTTCTCCACTCAGACTCTGGTCTCTGTGACCTGATATGGGTTAAACACCAGAAAGTGATAGTTAAGAAAGAAGAGATTGTTGATCTAAGATGATGATCTAGATAGCAGGATATGTAGCTTAAGATCTGTTTTATGCTTTCTTCACTAGAAATACATCAGTTGCTGTAAAACATCTTAAGCAGAAAACACACATTGAGCTTTTTAAACTACTCTATAATACACAAATGTCTAGCTCCTGTTTGTCCTTACCTGACACATCTATTACTCCTTCTGCTCTGACTATGCACTTTGCAGGGTGCTGCCCTGTTCTGCTGAGATTCAGGATTACACATTATGTCTGCTAAATTAACATAAACCTTAGAAGCAACATCCTTTCTCAGCATTGCCTCAGACTCAGCACAAGACTATTTGTATTTGGGAATAAGAGGTAAAACATTTTAATTAAATAGGAGAAAGAAGCGTCACATTGGGATTCCTGGCCACAGCACAGGGCTGGACACACCTGGATAGGTGTGAAAGTGAAATAAATGGTTGGTTTAAGGGTTGTGTTGTGCACTGAGTTGTATTTATTCTGTGGTGGCATTTCACATTTCTGTTGTTGTCCGTCACAGAGTTATTCATACTTTACTGTACTTCACCTACATGCGCATGCACCTACATGATGAATGGGTGTAACACCTAATGTATACTCATAAGGAGCTCATGGTGTAGGAAACAGAAAGTGGGGAAGGGCAGAAAGACAGCAGAAAGATATGATGGGATACAGGAGGATGAGGAGGAAAAAAGAGGTAAAAGCTTTCATCGACAGACAGATGAAGATATAACAAAAGAGAGGAGACAGGAAGGACACAGAGGGACGGGGTTTTAGAAGAAACAAAAAGCTTAGCATTCCTTGAAAGACTGCATATTGCTCTTTAAAGCCATTTTTCTGTTGGCTAAGGTCAATAACCTGTGGTGACCATCTTTAATTCAAAGGTTAACGAGTTGTAAATGCCCAGTCATTTATTGCTTTCTGAGAGTTTCATTAAAGTCCATGCAGTGGTTTGTAATATATTTTTCCAAGACAATAAGAATGAATAGTTAAAGACAAAGTTTTAGGAACAAATCTTGCACTGTCATTTAGCTCTCATAAAATAAGGTTGGAATAAGTGTCAGCTACCACCATCCATAGTTTTAGCCCAAGCTCTGTAAAATTAGTTATCGGAGGAGTAAAGTTTGTGCTGATGTTGATGCAGTTTGCTGCGAGGAGCTGAGGAAATGGGCCTGAGGAAGGCGGTGAAGCCCGAGTTTGGTGGTGGAACGCGAAGCTTCTCCTGTGAGGAGGACTACATCTATGAGAACATCGAGAGCGAGCTGTGTTTCTTCACCTCGCAGGTCAGTGTCACAGACACACACACGCAGTGGCTTCTCATGTTAGTGTTTCTGATGGTACTTGGTATTCTTCGTGTTGCAGGAGAGGCAGAGCATCATCAAATACTGGCTGGACAATCTACGTGCCAAACAGGGGGAGGTTCTTCATAACATCAGCTTCCTGGAAGGCCAGCCAATCAGTAAGCAGCTTTAGCACCGTTTGGTCAAAATGCACAACTTTGAATAGTTTTAAAAACAACTAATTACAATTTAGTTTATTTATAAAAGTCATCTTTGAGTGATATACAAAAAAAAACAAAAAAACAAGTCCAAATCAGATCCAGTTTAAATCCAGTTACTAACAGTTCAAATCCTATTATAACAAATAAATTCACGTACAGTACAGTACAGTACAGTACAGTACATTATGAAATGTCAATAAGTAAAAGTACTCTGTATAAGAAAGACAGCAAATGGTGTAGAATCTTGACTTTGGGCAATCCTCCATTCTGAGCAGCACGCTGGCGAGAGTGGAAAGGAACAACTCCTTTTTAGCAGGAATAAGACTCAAGCAGAACCGGGCTTAAGGCAAACAGCCACATGGGTTTGAGGACAGGAAAGCAACACAGACAAACACAGAATTGGTCTAAGTGTAGTTTCTATAAGATGAAAACTAGGATAATGAAAGCAATAATTACTAATACCGGAGTCCCTCACTACTTCATGGTTCGTTTATCGCAGACTTGCTCTATAGCAGTTTTTCAAAATAAGATTGGACATGACCCACAATTGGCTGCCTGATGGATGAGCCACATGATCAGCATGGAATTTTATTTAAAATAAATTATTTTAAATTAATTAGCACCTGCTGCACATTTGTGCAGCCCATACTGCAAGATAACTTCCTGCTGCAGCTGATCAGCTGGTCTCTGTGCAGAGTGGAGAAGTGGGTGTGGCCAAGAGTGCTTGTGGGAGGCAAAGACAGACAAGGCAGGGAGCTGTGCTCTTTTAGAGCGTTTAGAGTTTAAAACATTGTTTAGAATATTACAAGAGTGTGGGAAGGGTTTAAAACGCCTTTATCTATCTATCTATCTATCTATCTATCTATCTATCTATCTATCTATCTATCTATCTATCTATCTATCTATCTATCTATCTATCTATCTATCTATCTATCTATCTATCTATCTATCTATCTATCTATCTATCTATCTATCTATCTATCTATCTATCTATCTATCTATCTATCTATCTATCTATCTATCTATCTATCTATCTATCTATCTA